TTTAGTCAAGATTGACAAGGTTTTTCATAATGAAATGCACACAGACCTTCCATCCAAACTTAACTTAATGTTAAATACAAATTTTTATTTTAAAGCACTTGTGAATCCCTATAAACCATATCCATAACCTTTGGGATTCCATTTTGAGGAAAAAACCAATGTCTACACATGATTGGCGAAACACGAATTATAAATACGAATTCAATAACAAAATTGAAGATTTACCAACTTTGATAAAAGAATATCCAGACAATAGCTGTAATTTGAATGATTAAAATTGCATACACAATATCTCAAGTATACCATGTGAAAGAGGATTCTCAAAGTAGAATTAAAAATCTAATCAATTGATAACTTGGGTGACGATAACTTGTCATGAGTTTCATTAGAAGTCATATCCTCTCTTATGATGGGTGGCAAGCATATACAAGATTACCTTACAATTCAAGCAACTATACAGTGTTACATCGGAACAGATACTCTCAGTTGCTGGAAATACAGTTAGCAAAACGCGGAATTTTCGTTTCCAGAAACTGCAAAAGCATGTTTATTTATGAAGAACTGGATAGTCAATAAAGAGTATAGAATTTTTTAAATGTATTATATATATCTTCTCTAGAGATGTGCCATTCATAGTAACCGTGATTTTTTTTCGCGCATAGTGTATATATATCATAGGGAGGGAAACATCATAAATGTACATATAATAATAAGAAAGTAAATGGCATATTTAATTTTTTTTTTAGAAATGTTTATTAATAAGTAAATGTCTATAAAAAATGTATCTAAAACCTTATGCGTAGCACACTATGTGTAACACACCATGCACAGCACATCTCTAATCTTCTCATTTTGCATTTTTATTATTATGGGAATAGCAGTTTCACAAAAAAAAACCAATTAGAGTCCGGTTTAAAAAATCGAACTGAGCATGATCCTTACGCGTAACCCTAAGGTCGTTTAGTCGACATGACTTGATGTAATTTAATTGGTTTTTTAGCACAAAAATGGCTATTGGTTAAATTAACCGATTGCTATTAATCGGATGGTAAAATCTAAATTGTGCTAATTCTTTTTTAACATCAATTTGAAATCAGATTGAATTGATTGAATCCATTTTTACTAGTTGCATTCTGATATAATATTTGAAACAATCAATTTACACATTTATTTTACATATTTATATGAATCAGTTTTGTATAATTAACAAAGCTAAAGGTTTTGCTTGTTCTGGTGTTTTTAATCGCAATTGATAAATTCTTATCTTTTGTGATTTTACAAATAAGTATTAAATAACGCGTATGAGATGTACAATATATATAATTGTTGTGCGCGCGTGAATTTGAATTTATGAAGTTCATCCAATCAGAGTTTTGTGTCCCAAAATTTAATTAAAATAAATCGTTTATATTAGTTTGATAAACTTTTGGGTAAAATCTATCAGCCAGCTTCTTTTTTGTAATCTACCTATTCTTTTGATTATTAGAATGATTTTAAATTTCGCCACTAGTGAAAAATAATAATGATTTTTACTATATTAATATTAATTTATATATTCTTTACATTCTCAAACAACGAGTTTCGAAATTTTCGAAATTGAAACTGGTACGTTAATATTAATTAAATAAATGTTTAAAAGCTTTCATTTGGAAAAAACGCAATTTTTTTACAAATACGCATAAATCTATTTTTTATGTCAAAAATAGTGTTAAAGCTCTTGCTTATCTTCCAACTTGTCCAATTGGAAAATTTTTTATAGATTCAAGGCGTGCAATTGTACAACGCTTGCTTGTTTGGTGCTTATCAAATCTGAAAAACCTATGATCAGGAACACGGATATTATCCTACGCCTTTGACATCTAGCTCCTCCTCAATAACATCACTATCTTCAAGAACGTTCTCTAAAAATGTGGTGGTTGGTATAAATTCGCCATCGCTTTCAGAATCACTTGAAAGCTCAATTTCATTCATGATTGATATTAGAATGTTGTAAATACATTATGACAACAAAGTTTTTAAAGGCTAGAAAAGAATTACACATAGATCAAAGAAGACCAAAAAAAAAACGAAATTTTCCTCTCTTTCTTTTTTATTGATCACTAAGAAATCAAACATTTGCCACATGACACATTTTTTGCTAAAAGTCAATTCAATTTTTTATTTACGTTAATTATTAATAACAACTATATAATTAATTCAAAATGAAATGTTTGGTATTATAAAGAAATTTTTACAAATAAATTAATTACATATTCTTCAGAAATGTTCTGGACTTTCTAAGTGAAGAGAAAATAATAATTCATATTTGAATTTGGGATAATAATTAATTGGGTTTGAATTGGTGTATGATGTTATTGGCTTGTTGTGTTATTTTCAATTTCTGCTGTTTTTATGAGATTTTTTAAATCTTCAGAACCCTTTACATGTCCACGTAAATAATCGGAAAGTGAATTTTTTCATGATAGTTTATGGCTATGGTCTAAAATAAAAACAACTAATTCTTTACTTCAATAATATAAAAATCCAGTAAAAAATAAGTTGAAGTATGATTACAGTTTAAAAAAATATATATATCAATGTGTAGTATACTCACTATAAATGTGTATCATAGGAATCTCGAGCGTATTTAACAAATCCAGACTTTTAGTATTGTCAGTGCCTTGGTATACTATTCCATGATTCCTTTGTCATTTAGTTAATCTTATTTAATCCGTCATCTCTGATGTGGTTAATTAATGGATTCCCTTTGGCTCTAGGTCCATATGAAACTTCTGTGAAAAATAATTCGAAAAGCCGTTGTACATTTTTTTCGAAAAATGATTCTCACAATGAATTCCACTTTTCTAATATCATTCCATTCATCATCTGAAAGCATAAATCACACATTTGCTTGCATAATGGTTGGAACTTCACATGTAATCAGGGTACCTAAATGGACCTTTTCATTGTTCTATTTTAGTTGATGGACATATTTCTCCATCCCTAAAAATAAATTTATCATTTGAATGGTTAGTTCAGATGGAAAATCATTTGATAACAATAATAAGATTTTTATTTTATTACCTAATTCTAACAATGTTTGCGTTAACTTGGGGTTGTTGATATTATAACTTTTATTATAGTTTGGCGAAGCCCACATATGTTTACTAAAAATTTTTTAATAAAAAATTTTATTCATTAGTTTATCACGTTAATAGTTTAAAACCGGAAAAAAATTTAAAGCTTACATTGCAATTAATAATGCTGCTAAATGATAATTTATACTTGATGTTCTTTGAGGAATTGGTGGTACTTCCGAATTTGTAAAAAAATGAATTTATTATCATTTAGGCTTCTTCCAAGTTTTTTAAACAGTGACCCTTTCTTAATAATTTTTCTTTTTAAATCATGTGATTTTTCATCAATCTTTATAGTATAAAATGCTGCTTGCTAAAAAATGGTCTCGTTTTAAGTTGATTTCAGACATTGTAGAACTTATTGCTGTAGCTTAAATAATAATAAATACATAGTTTCTGCCTTAGAAATAGCTTCTCAACATCTCTGTGCGTCCATGTTGTTATTGCTATTATTTGGTCCCTCTGATAAAAAAAATTGAAGAAATGAAATATATTTCTGAATGGCGTCCCCTTAGTAATATAGTAAATAATTAAAAATTCTGAGGCACTTGCTTCCCAGCAAAGATACTACTCAGCAAGAAGTTTATTAATTACTGTATACACACTTTATAACGAACGGCCTTTCTTGTTTTGGCAAAAAAGATCGTTGCTATCATTGGTTATTATTCATTTGATGTTGCACAAAAATTTTGGGAGATAGATGCGAATTGATTGTTTTATTTTTTTTGGAACGATTTATTTTTGACAGAGTTCAAAACAACAAAACGTGAGTGTTGTTTGATATGGATTGGTTCTGAAAAAGTGTTAATAACTAAACCAGAGATATTATTTATTTATTTGTATTGACATAATGTGGTGTCTTTTAATTTATAAATACTTAAATTGGAATCAAAAAATGGGCCAGGACTTGCTGGGTATTTATAAGATTTTTATCAAGATAAGTAAACGATTGGTATTTTGCTTTTCATAATTGTAATCAATATTAATATTAAATAATAACATGTCAAGGCAGCACACCACCATTGAAAAAGAAACAATTCAATATGCAATGTTTGATTATTGGAAATTGGCAGCATTGAAGCACACACTCTACCTTAAACATTACAGTCATTCTCATGTTCCTTACATATACAAGGCTAATCTGACCATGATACCCCGAATGATACAACAATATTATTAAATTCTGGGGCAAGGCCCTGGAGTTTATCAAGACTGCATCAATTGCCAAGGATGTTTTTGCTAATCTTCCCTCACAGCACCCAGATCAGAGAAGGCTTGAACCTCAAAATCCAGTATGTTATGATCATAACATTATGAATACCTTATACTAGCAATAATCCATTAGTTTTGAGGTAGTGCCATTGGATTGGTTTGGCAGAGCAAATAAATCTTTTTAGGGTTAATTATCACTCTACTGAGTAGTTACACACAAACAATAAGATATACATGTAAGCTCATTAAGTCGGGTACAACAATCAATTGTTTAAAATAAATAAGTGACCAATCTATTGAGTTTACATGTGTGTAGGGTTTGAGAGAAGGGCCCAAAAAATAAATCGGCTGATATGGTAATCACATATTACCAGCAATTTTCCCTTCACTATCCTTGTTCAAAGTTGATGCATGATGTTAATATATTGGCTGAAATGTTTGCACTATATAAAAGCAATCAATATATGTATAGGAATCAATTAGGGGATGTTAATCAGTCCCTTTGGGATCGGGTCCTGAACAGTCCGGACCAGACTTTTTCAGATCCAGTCTAGGGCTGGAAATAGTACTTTAAAAATCCGGATTTTCCTTTTAAAAATTTTAACTTCTGGAAAAAAAAAGAGTTGCTGGATATTTTTCCTTTTTATTTTTATTTTTATTTTTTTTTTTGTACAGATTTCCCATCCACATAAAAAAATTTTATATATACTAAATAATGCATACATATATGTGTATCACTACTTCAATATCTTAGAAAAGAACCATAATTTGTATCTTTTGAATTTTCAGAAGAAAAGTATTAATTTAAATTTTATTTCACTGCTATTAATCCCTTATTCAAAAAAATAAATTATAAATAAATAGTATAGAATAAGAAGAATTAGATAATCTGACTACTAAAATATGGGATGAAGCATTTATAAATGAAACAATTCAAATGTCAAATAAAAAAGTGCATTTTAAAAATCAGGAAGTTTTCATCATGAATGGCTAAACACATATAAATGGCTAAAATATGATGCAGCAATAAAGAGAATGTTTTGCACAATTTGTAAAACACATGGGAAAAAAATCAATTTGCAGAAAAAGGTGACAAATAAATATAATTAATTTTGCATTTTGCAATTATTAATTTGCTGATATTTTAATGTTATTATTTAGGATCAA